TAGATAGATAGAAAGAGAGAGAGAGAGAGAGACAGACAGACAGACAGACAGACAGACAGACAGACAGACAGACAGACAGAGAGACAGAAAGAGACAGAGATAGTGAGAAAGAGAGAAAGAGAAAGTATGTGCATAAGAAAGACAGAAAGATAGACAGGTAGAGAAAGGAAGATTGAGAGAAAATTGAGAGAGATATTATGGATAGAAAAAGATATACTACAGATAGATCGAGGGGATAGAGGGAAAGACAGAGAGACAGAGAGACAGAGAGACAGATGGAGAGGGATGGGCTGTGGAAAGGGAGGGGGGGGGGTATTATATTGCATCGCTTTCTGAAAGGTCAAACAAAATGAACAAAGAGAAGCAACAACAAAAATGAGGGGAAAAAACCCAAAAACCTCATATATTTTTTGAAAATCTATCCGTCGCTGTGGGAGATCGTTTATCCTCTATACCTTTGTATGGTTCTGTCTTTTCCTTGTTGTTCTCGTTCAAGCTCGATTTCAGTTTTCCGGTGCAGCATTCTTCCGCTCCCCATTAAAATGATCGAATACGCTGCCTTTTATATCGGCTAGGCGTGACTAAGCCATAGAATTATTGCGTTCAGAGATTTACTGAGCCGGTTATGCAGCTTAGCGTGTATTTTAGGGTGAAATGCACAGGGATTCGAAACAACGTGAGATTCACCCAATGAGTTATAAATGACGCAAAGACACTCACTTTATAGCTATACGTTTTTGTTTTTAGAATCAAAACAGGACGAAATTAAACCCAGAAATAAAACCAATCTCCACAAAATGAAGTAAAAACATGTCCTGCTGTTAGTTGCTTTTAGGGGATGCATCTTTATAATTTATTAGAAAAAAAAACCCAAATACCCCCCCTCCCCCCCAACCACAAAAATCCAAACAAACAACAAAACGAAAACAATAGAAACAAAAAACAAAACAAACAAAACAAACAACAAAAACAAACTACAGAAAACACCACACCCGGCCTGTGTTTTAAAGAAAAACTATTTTGAAAGAAACCCGTTTATCATTCTAATGTGACACTTCTCTTGAAACAAAATCCAAACCAAAACCTTTTTCACGCACCAACGACAAACATGTTTTTGTAAAGAAAAACAACTAAAGATCGTAGTCGTTTGAACGCCTCTACAAACATTGTGCACTTTTGTGTTGCTTTACCAAGCTGAGCTTTTGATAATCCCTTACTTGATAGGACGAAGCCAAAAGTGAAACGAGCCATGAAAACTCCCTCAGTAATTGCAAGTGCAGCAAAAAGTTTACTAAAAAATACATCAGTTGTTTTTAAAAAAGAAATGATAGAAAGAAGACATTAAACCATACAGATGCATTTTAATAGTTTTTAAAAAATGGATCTAGTTAAATTAACTGGTAAATAATCCCCCCCCCCCAAACCCCCAGTTTTAACAGAAAAGCAACTTAAGTGCTATCTGCAAAACTTAATAATTAATTTTTTACGGGACTTTACTTTAAATTCCGAAAGCGAATTCAGAAACTCTTAAAACAACAAAATAATACAATAATGAGGCTGAGAAATTATGTAAAATGTCTGAACTTAAACTTAAAGAACATTCAGTTAGACCATCCTCGTACTATTACGACAGCTATGATGACGTGTCTCTCGCGCGCTCTGGGTCGTGTGCAGGGTGAGTAAGCCCAGCAGACCAGGGAGTGGCGAGGAAAGTTTTGGACCGCTCACTCCCAACAACCGCCCGGGGCTCCGTCTGCTACTACTTGCGTCTGGCTGGTCACTAGGGCGCCCTGGTTTTTCTCCGTCCGTACTTCGGTTTATTAGTTTTGTTTGTTTCGTGCTTTACGGAGAGTCTAGCGTGTTATGGAAGCGTTTATACTGTAAGAGACTGCTGGTGCGGATGGATAGGAATTAGGAGGGATGTTCGTGTTTAGTATTGCGTGTAGACTGTTTTACACGTTAATTGGGTACCGTATGTGTGTGTGTGTGTGTGTGTGTGTGTGTGTGTGTGTGTGTGTGTGTGTGAG